CGGCCCTGGCCTCCGGCGGTTTTGGCAGCTCCTGGCTGGCCCTGAGTTGCCTGAGCAACTGCAGGCACACAAACACGAGCGCCTGGCTCCCGCTCCTGCTCTGTTTGCAACCAAACACACGAGCTCCTGGTAACGATCCCTGGGAATGGGCCGGGCTCCGGGATGGGACGGCGGCTCCGGGATAGGGTGGCTGCTGCCGTGGGTGCTTGGGTGCACAAGGCTGGGTGCAGGTGCTGCCGCCCTGATCCCAGGCACGGGCAGAGCCTGCTGCAGTGCTGCCTGGGTGGCAGCGCCAGGCTTTCCAGCTAGATACCCACCTCTGCGGTCATCTGTTTGGAGCCGGGCTCCCTAAATAACCCGCAGGGGTTATTTCGCAGGTGCCTCAGCTGTGGCGCTGGCATTGCCCACGCCGCGAGGGATGTGCTGGGGACACGCATGAGGCTTGGGTGGGCTTGCTCCCTGCCATTGCACAGCCCTGCACCTTCTGCATCCTAGTCACCTGCTTTTTAAAACACAGGAGAAGGAAGGGGTTGTCGTCTTCTGGGCTGGTTTCAGCCTCACCCTCAGTGAGGGTCTACCAGTGGCAGGCTGGGGGTGAGGGCTGGGGGGATACTAGCCCTCCTTTGAGCAGGTCAGAGGGCGTTTGTGGCTGTCTGTGCCCCTAAATGCTCTTTCCGAGATCCAACGATGTTCCTCCTTTGAAAAGTTGTTGCTGATGGGGGCTTTAACCCTTTCCTGACTCCACTGCCCAGCTGCAAAAATGAGGTGCAAAATTCCCAGGGCGAGGCTGTCCTGCGTTGCCTCGTGCTCCGTGGAGGTGCCACCCACAGCCCCATCCTTGTGCGCAGACTTGGAGGCTTTGCGAAGGAAGAACATTTTGTGAAGAGTGAGCAGGCCAGGCCCCATGGGACCCATCCCCTGCCGGTACGTGGCACCGGTCAGGACCTGGTGGTGGAGCAGAAGGGGGGGTACCCATGTCAGGGCAGCTCTGAAGGGGAGTTGTGGGTGCTGGCATGCTTTTGATAGCGGGAAATCAAGCCCGGGAAGGAGATTTCTGCCTGGTTTTAAGCTTGCGTGTGACAAGAGCAGCGACCCTGGCATCCCCGCGTCCAGCAGCAGAGCACGGCATTCGGGAGCAGCAGGCGTTCCTCCCCCAGCTGCTCACCCCACCTCTGCCTCTGAGGCTGGGGACCTCAGCAGCTCAGCTGTCCACCTAGCAGCTGCTGAACGCCCATGGTTTGCGAGCCAGCAAGGAGGGTGGATGGGTCCTCACTCGGAGTTACCTCCGTAAGTTCAGCTAGAAGCAAGGGGAGCTGAGCTGCTGCTGCTCAGGTGATGGAGCAGCCAGGGCAGGGGCTGCTGGACGTCCCCCCCCCGAGACGGTCAGCTCAGCTGAGCCTTACCATCAGTCGGTTGCATCCTGCTCTGAATCCTGAACAGAAGCAGCTTCTCTGCAGCCTGTGAAGCCGTGGCAGAGGTCACGCAGTGGCCAGCAGCTCCCACGCGCTGCCAAACCAGCTCAGCCTAAAGGTGCTCCTTACCTGCTCCAGCTCCTCTTCAAGGTCATCACCGCTCACTCCACAGCTTACACAGGACTTTCCCCCTCCGACCGTCTCCTTGCCCCCAAGGAGGCAGCTCCAGTGCATGCTGTTCCCTGCATGGGGACAGGGCTGGGTGGTGAGGGTAGCAATGGCCAGACCACTCTGGCCGGGCTGGTTGGCACCGCCTAGTCTGGTATCTCGGTCCTGCCAAACCGGCCCCAGGGGAATTAGTGCTGGCAAAGACCCAACAGGGTCTAACGACCGAAAAAGTGCCTAAGATCGGCCTGGAAAGAAGTCGGTCTTCCCCTGAAGTGATGGGAACAGCTTCCTGGGAACAAGAAGACGTTGGTTTGGGTCTTCACCAAAACCGGAAAACTTTCTAAACACCAGTGTAGCGATCTCCCGGGGAGCTGTTGGCTGTGTATGTGTGTACAAGGCTCGCCCCGTTCGTTCTTGCAGGAAGGTGTGAAGGCCTTTTAGAAAAAGCACCCGGAGCACCGTGGCTGTGATCTGCATTACAGCTACATCACGCAGCCCCTAAGCGTGGTCAAAGCCAGGTGGAGACGTGGCCTCACGGGTAGGTAAGTGCAAGGAATAGGGCCTTTAAACATCAGTCTTCATGACTAATGTGGACAGGAAAGCGGAGGTCCCCAGGATGGTTGGCACTGGAGCACGGGATGGATGAGGAGAGGCCAAGCTGGGGCGCTCAGCCCTCGAGAAGACCATAACCTGAAGGAACTTCCACAGGACCAGCAGCTCCGGCTGTTCTCCCAGTGAAGCTTGAAGTGGTGCCACAGGCTGCTGAGACAGCGGAGACCTTAAAATATTAGTTGCAGAACTACTTTCTGTGATGAAAAGTGACACAGCCCCAAAAAAAGGGCTTGCAGCCATTTCCCCTGTGCTAATGAATTTGCTCTGGCCAAGCATTTGCTCTGAGGTTGGCTCCACACCAGCTCAAGAAAGACACTTTGCAGCCAGCGAGTAATTCCCTCACAGTGGAGGAGCCAGCGGGCAGAAGGTGTCTCAGCCAGTATTTATGTTGTTTGCATTGATCCAAGCCCCGGGCGTGAAGCTTTTTTCTCCTTCCCCTTCGTTTCTTCCCCTTGGCCACTCTCCGGCCCCGCTCTGATAGCGGAGGGGCACGCCAGACCTCGCCCCCAACCCTGCCACCACGAACACTCACCTGCTCCACCATTTTGGACAAACCCAGCCTCTCCCACAGGCTGACGTCCCAGCTTGCCAGTGAGACGTGCAGCCCAGAAAGCTCAGCTGAGTGGTTATGATGACTTTAGCTGTAAAATGTGTTCTCTGCCCCCAGGGTCACTTCCCTAGAGAGTATCTAAAATCATCTGGGGGTCACGTCTGATGTGCTTCACACTTTGACAGCAGGTTGTGTGCCTGGGACGAGGGATCTGGCTCCTCTGAGAGGTCATTTTTCTCTGGGATGAGTGGTTTGACCAGAGACACTGATGAAGACTGATCACTCTGTACCTCCAGGACGTAGATTCATTCCTAGAAGAGCGAGACAGTGGATGCCAATAAGGCCAGCAAGGTCTTACCCTCTCTGTCGCCGTGTAGGAGCACCAGGAAGTGCTTATAGATGTTCTTGTTCCAAAAAACTGCTCCCTCAGCGAGCATCCCTCTGCAGAGTGTCTTGTGCTGGTAGAGTGCAGATCCTTGGTCTCACGCCAGGCAAAACAGCTTCCCTATCGAGTTGTACCTGCGCTGCCTTCCTCAGTACTTTTCCATTTCACTGCTAGCCTGATGGACAACGTTTTCCAAAATACACAGACGAGGCTGTAAATCGTGTTCAGACGAGATTCAGAGAGCGGCCTGTATCCCGGAGGGTCAGGCGCTTTCTCAGAGGTACACATCTAAACCTGGGGCTAGAATTTCAAATCCCTGCAGTCAGTGCCCTGAGATACTGGTTCGACTGTGAACGCTGCATGCAATACTTCATCGCCAGCTACGTGTTGCCAGTGCTGTGCTGGAATATTGATTAGAGGGAATTCAATTAACTAAACTACCATCTTCCCAGCATGGCATGGTTTCAGATAAAATGTTATTATACAGGAGTCATCCCCAATTTTGGTTAATACAATAACTGCTGCAGAAGTGTAAGAACACAGGGGAGGATAGAAGCAGGAAGATGCAGAGAAATAAAAAAAAAAAAAAGCAAGGATTAGATTCACCAGCTTTAAATACAGCATGAGATTTCATACAAGATAAAACTGAACACGATCCCTATTTAATGTCTATTTTGTTCCCTGTACAGAGGACAATTGCGTAATTGCTCTGAACTGCAGTACTGACCAGAGCCGTCTGCTGATGGTACCGGTGCAGTTCTTCCTAGTGGGGATGATGTCTCATGACTGGTGCATTTCTCAGCTGGAAGAGGTGTTTTGCGAACAGCGTGGCTGCTCTCTCGAGTCAACTGCTGCAGCAGGACGGTTTGCGGACACTCAAGACCTGGGCGAGATTGTTGCAGAAAAAAAAAAAATTAAACGGTGAGCATGCATTCAGGAGAGTGAACCTGCTATAAAGATTTTTTCCAAAACCGATACACTGATTTCCATTTATTCAAAAGCATGCTTTAAAACATTTGTACTTAGAGCTCTAAGTCTGTAGCTTAGAGCTCTGTATTTCAAGATGACTACAGCTACAGCTATGATTCATTTTAAGAGTTCATGCATAGCTGGCTTACGATGGTTGATAACTGATAGAAACCATTCAAAGAGATTGATAGCCTGTGCTAAGACAGCTGGAAGCACATCAGTGGAGTGCTATGCTTGCAAAAGGCAAGCCTCCTCTCTCTCGTTTTGACCTGAGATACTTTTTCTAAAAAAAGCAGTTTCATCAGACCCAGAATATTCCTGACTTGCCGCTCACCGAACTGGCATTTTCATATCTTGGCTTGAAAGTCTGTAACCAGTTCCAGCGTCCTGAAGTGTACAATGTGCGCTAATGATCACCAAAATAGCTCGCTCATGTGTCAAAGCCCTGAATTCATCCATTTGCCACCAGTGCGGGGGTATTACAAGAAGTGTACACGACTTCGGTGGGGGACAGAGCACCACCTCCTGCCGTGACAGGCAAGCTGTGTACCCTGCCTGAGACTGGCCCATACCTCTGGCTGTCCTGCAGAAGAGCCCCGGTCTCCTGAACTCCGGTAAATTGTTTCACTTCCAGTCTTAGAAATTCCACCGGCAACTCAGCCAGTCATTTTTCCAAAGCAACTCATCTAAAGGAAATACAGGGAGAAGGTTGAGCGTACGAGTACTGCCGTACTGAGCATCTTTCTAACAGGCAGGGCTGTTCTGAGAGACAAAAGGTGACTGCGGGACCCAGAGGCTGGAGGTTACGCTCAACAAAAAATCTCCAGGGCAGCCTGTGAGGGTTTGTGGAACATTCTTTGTTACCCAAAGTCCTTAAAACTCAGGGCTGTAGGAGCAATTAAAGTCCATCCCGCAGTTCAGTGCTTCCTTCCTGACCCTGCAGCATCCAGGGCACAGAACCGTGCGGCCTCTGCTCCGGGGCAGGTCAGAGGAGACGCTCGAACCTCCTTGGCCATCCAACCTGTGAGGCTATCCCGGATTACATCGCTCCTGTTACCTTTTATACTTCAACGGCCGTCGAAGTGTGCTGGACAAATGGGGATGAAGGTTTGGACCGCTGCGGGTTTGCCTGTCTGAGGGCAAGGACAGACTGAAAATACCCGATAATCGCATTCAGTTCGTAGGAAAGCTTGTTTCGGTCCTTCGGCAGTCCAGGTAGCCATCCTATGGTGTTACTGGTACCTTGTTACCTTACATTAATCTCGCTCTTGCTGTACAGTGGATCAAAGCTCCTAGAAAAGGCATAGCTGGCAACCACGTGTGTGGTTGCGTTGCATCCGTTCTTGTGAGCCTTATAAAGCCACATCGGCCACCATTTCCTTGATGCCCAGGAGGCTATAGAGGAATCCTTCCGTTTTGCCCTACTGCACGTGGGTGTTTGATCTCTTGAGGTGCAATAACTGGAAGCAGCAGCCTGATCCGTCTCTTGTAACGTGCAGGCGGATACACGGCTCTGCTCCAGCCCTTCACCCAGCTGCTGCATCAGATAATCCGTTTGTGAGGAGACAAGACAAAACACAACAAAACAAAATCCCCCAAATCACAAAAGGTCACAAATGTTAAGAGAAATGAATCACTTTTCTACAGTTTTGCCAGTGCCTGGTAAGTCCCTAGGAGCCTTTCCAATGATGCTGGTGAGCCCTCTGAAGAGTGATAAATGGCAATGAGTTTAACATGGTGTGAGTTTAAGCGAACCCTTATGTCACTGCTTTGAAGTATTTGTTTGGAAAACGCTTCTGAAGAAAAAAGACATTTTCAAAGCATT